ATGCTGAATTGCTGTCAGTTACACTGGGAAGATATCTAGCACCTTTCACCCAGATATTGTCGGTAGTTTGTTTGCTTCTAACAAAATTCCTATCTTTTGCAGAATTGAAAAAAAAAAAAAAAAATAGAGATCTTAAAGTTTTAAAATCAGGATTCTAAAATGCCAAAATGTTTCTTTAGTGTTGTGAACATATTCTGGCACATTACCAACATATGACTGTCAAAATCCGGTATGCATAGGAGGCTGATACAGCTGCAGTACTGGCACAGTCATAGGTACCAGCTTTCACAGGTTACTACAAACATCTCTGTATTACTGTCTTCACAATTTATATAACTAAAGCTTAGCTAATACAATTTTAATAGAAAATATTGCATTTACTATGTGTATTTAAAAAACAAGTTCATTCATTTTGCAAATTACTTATTATTAATGGATTTACACATTTGATAAGCTGAAATTGCATTGGAGTCTTGAGTAATTTTATTCCACTTTAACTGTGAATGAATGGCTTTTTGTATTGCTGCAGCTAGAAGAATATGCTTGTCATTAGATGTACTATTTTATTTCAATAGCTGCAACATAGTGGCATACTTCCAACACGTGTGCTAAATCAGATCATAGAAATGACATTTTAAAAATAATGTTAAAATATAAGTGGGTGAAAAAGTCACACAGTAGTTTCTCATTTTAAAATTCGAAAGTTCTCTCCTTAAAGTTAACTGAACAGCTACTTCAGTGCAGATAACGTTAATTAAGTGTTAAGCTGGATATCTTATTCACAGATGCTTTTTGTTTTTCCAGTTCCAACTAATAAAAACTTCAAAATGCCTTCTTTGTATCAGCTTTTCCTCATTGACCTTTTTTAAAAAAAACAAATGAGACACCCTTCTAACTTCTAAAGCTTGAGACTGAAGTTCTGACTGGAACTCTAGTTCTGTTTTCTACTGTGCTGTCTATCATGCATGTGAGGAGAGAAATTGATTGCTTTTCCTTTTTGTCTTTCAGTTGCATCAGTCAGTGGTGCAAACAAAAGGGACTGTTTGCTGTTTTTAGAAGCACATTAAACTCCTTTTAGGAGCTTAAAATAAACTGTATTGTAATGAGGATGAAAGGATGTGGTGTGAATAATTATGGATTTATTGAGTGGGAAAGTTTTCTGTAATGCAATAAAATTTGCACTGGTTTAGAGACTGTTTTGAACTGTTGAAAAATGGCATCCATTTACTGTGCTTTGATTAACAAGTGTTTCTCTGTAATGTTTTTGTAAATTTGAAAAATGTTGCTTGAGTTTAAAAGGGCACTCTATGTATTCTGAATTTTGTATAGATATCCTAGATTAAGAAACAATTTTTAATGTGTTTTGCAAAATAAAGTTAAGTACAAATTCCTCATGAAGTCTCAGTTATTCAACTGTTTGGCAAAATTTAATCTTAAATGTAAATTCAGCCTATAGTTTTGCAAAATCAGAGACTTTCAGTTGCCTTTTGGGACTTTTTTTCATAGCATCTCAATGAATGCTTAATGGGGGGAAAGAACTAGAACAGTTGAAGCAGGACAGAGAGAGGAAAAAAAAACAAACACCCAGATTTGTAGTAGAACCATAGAATCATTAGAGTTGGAAGGGACCCTTAAAGCTCATCTTGTCCAAATGTCCTGCAAAGAACAGGGACACCTACAGCTTCATCCATCTGGACCTTTAAGTGTCTCCAGGGATGGGACATCCACAGCCTCTCTGGAGGACCTGTTCTAGCGCTTCATCACTGCTACTGTTGAAAGCAAAAAACAAACAAAAACAAAATCACTCAAACAGCTCCATGTATCTCTTGTCCTGAGGACTCCACAGCTGGATGCAGTACTCTGGTGAGGCCTCACCAGTGAAAATTAGAGTGACACCGCCTCCTTGGACCTGCTGCCCGTGCATCTTCTGATGCAGCCTGGGATAGTTTGCTTTCTGGCCTGTGAGGGCACATTGCTGACCCATGTCCAGCTTCCCATCCACCAGTACCCCCAGGTTCTTTTTGGCAAGGCTTGTGTTCTAATGTTACGTCCTCCAGCTTGTACCCATAGCAGGCATTGCTGTGATCCGGTCGCAAGATCTTGCACTTGGCTTTGCTGAACCTCATGAGGGTCTCCTGGGCCGGCTGCTCAAGCTTGTCTGGGTCCCTGTGGGTGGCATCCCATCCCTTGGGTATGTTGACCATACCACACAACTTGACGTCACCCACAAACTTGCTGAGGGTGCACTCGATCCCACTGTTAATATAATTGAGGAGGTATTAAGCATGTTTGTCTCAGTGCTGGCTGCTGAGTGAAACACTCATCACTGATCTCCATCTGGAACTTCAGCCATTGACCCCTGTGGGTGCCACTGTCTTGGGCAGTTTTGTTTCTAAGAGAAGATGGCTCTGAGGGATCATAAACAAACCATGTATCACGAGACTAGCATAGCTAGAGAAAAAAAAAAAGGAAAACAGGATGAAGGAGGCAGAAGCTGTGTTTACAGGGAAGACATGGACCATGGCTTTGTAATCACAGAGTTAGTGCTCTCTGCTCACCAGGAAAAGCATCATTAATCAGGTACATGAGAACAGGTTCGTGGCTGCAGGTTACTAAACACTTGCTGTGAGGTCTGTTTCTTTCACTGATGTTGCTGAGTTATGCTTTCAGAGATGCAGCCTTGCAGATCACAAGAGACACTGGTGAGTCTCCTACCTCCTATTTTCATGCTTAGGTTCTAAATAATAAATAAATTTGACACTGAGACTAAATTTGAACAGTAAATATTGCCAGTTACTGGCAAGTGCTTCAAGCCTTTCTGATTGAATGTCTTTGAAACGCCTTCCCTTATGGTCACCAGTTTGTTAATTTACTAGTAAAAATAGCAGAACCAAACGCCTAAACAAATGAGAATGTGTAACAAAAGGGCAGCTTGTGGAGATCATCAGGTGTTGGGAATTGCAGGAATAGTTTGTCTTTCAGACACTTCTTTTATAACCTTGTTGGAATGAAGACTTTGGGTTGCTTTTTGTTTGTTCATTCACAGGTTCTCTGCCATCTTCAATAATGTCTTTTGCTACAAATTTTACACCTGCAGAGGAATAACCTCACGTACCAGCATGGGCTGGAGAGCAGCTTGGCAGAAACAACCTAGGGTTCCTAGGGGATGCCAGCATCACCATGACTGAGGAGCATGCCTTTACATGAAAGACAGCAATCCTAACACGGGCAGAGGTAGACAGCAGTGATCTTTCTGTGCTACTCAGTGCTTGTGAGAAAGGCTGAAATCTGGGACTGTTCAGCCTAGAGAGGATTCAGAAGGCTGGAGGAGGAAGATCTCCTTTGGTGGTAACTGTTGAGGCAGAAGGAGGAAGACATTGCTACAGTTCCCTGTGCCGCTCTGCTGGAGTGATTTCACAGACAGCTAAGCTCCTGTGAGCCACTCTCTCACCTCCCCTCCTTGAAAGCGCAGGGAGGAGAAAATAAGATGAAAAAAGCCTGATGGGTTGAGATAAGAGTAGTTTCATAAATAAAACAGAAGCAGATGGAGAGAATTCTTCTCTACTTCACATCAAGCAAGGTTCAACCACGTCTTGGGAAGTAAGGCCTCATTACACATAGGAGAGAGAGAGATGCTTTTCAGCTTTCTCTTCCTTTCCCAGCTTTTACTGCTTAACGCAGTGTAGCTTGCCTACCCTGTGACCAACTTGCCTCTTGCTCACTTTCAGCCTCCCAACTGAGGAGAGCATTGAGAGCCAGCCTTGTTGCTGTGTCAGAACCACTCAGCAACAGCCAACACACTGACGCAGTATCAGCACTGCTCTAAGTTGCAAGAGTCGAATACCACTGTGCAGCAGTTACTGTGGGAGAAATAACCTCAGTTCCATGGTTGAGATCCAGGTAGCAGTAGATGAAGTTGTACCCAAAGTCCATTACTTTCCTGAAAAGTCAGGTACCTATTTCACAGCTGAGCTTTAAGTTTTCTGAACAACTTCAGCCTTGTGGAGCAGCCATCCCACCAACACTGCACGCAGGCTACTGTTGCCAAAAAGCACTTAATGTTTTGTCACTTGTTTTGTATCAGACTCTGACCTGACCTTAAGATGGCAGGTGCAGCTGCTGACTATGCAAAACCTTACTGCAAAACCTATTGTGGCAGAGTGGTGTACTGCTAACAGATAGATTAAACACTACCTTATTAGCTGCCTCCGAGTTGGAAATGATTATGCTTCAATTCCTAATTCAAACCAGACTTCAAGGAAGGTTAATTTGATCCTTCCATGTCCATGAATCTACTGCCAGCAAATTGCCTGTTCAGCAGCTCTGATTTCTACAGTGGTGGTAAAGCTTTATGAGTTCAAGTTTTTTGTACTTGAAAGAGAAGCACAAATGTGAAGAAAATACAGAAGTAGATATCGACTATTTGACCTAAAAATTTCCTTGCTGTATCCTATTCCAACACCAATTAACTCATATGCAGTTACAGCAGAATTCCTGTAAGACTGAGTGATCTCCACAAAATATAACCTAAATACATTCTAAATACGTGCAGACTACTAGGACTAAGTTAAAGAGAGAAATTATTAAATCAAACATTTTGGTAGATGGCTTACTCATTCTTTGTACCAGTACTGATTTAAAGAACAAAATGGTGAAATACGTGCACTTAACTCTCACAAGAATCACCTAAGGCAGTAGAGTTCACCATATACTCAAAAGCAAACGGCTTCCTCCCTCACCTGGAAACACTATCTAATGCTTAAGACTGGGAAAAAAAGTAACCACTTGTGAAACACAAGATCAGGTTTTGTTCTAGCAGGTGAGTCTTGCTTCTAAAGATCCGTATGTATGCACAAGGTAAACTGGAGCTTTTCACAAAAAGCATTACAAGTTCTTAAGAACAGACTGAGCTTCCGTATAGGTCTGAGTGCTGCAGTTAGTCTAGACTACCATTTATTTTAAGACATAGCCAGGAATTATATTCACTGGAAGTCTCACAGTAAAATTTAACCACAAAAGGGTTTTATTTTCAGTATCATGTACATCTTTACTTCTGACTTGACTCAGATTTAGATGTAGAAGCTCTCAATGAAGAAAGCCGGCGTCTCTTAGCAATCTGCTCCTGGCGTTTTTCCTTGGCCTCCTGAAAAACAAAAACAAAATACAAAAAGCGTCAAGAAATGTGCAGTGTTGTGTTAGGCATTATCAAGCACACTAAGAAAATCCAGCAATAAACTCCTCCCAGACCAAAAGAATTCTGTAAGTACCAAACCTGTGCAGACCCATGTGTCTCCAGCATGTACAGATCAGTGTCCAAAGTAACAGTGGAAATATTAATGAAGAATTCAGGGCACACAAAAGCTCTGTCTACCTTCTATCACAGACTGGAACTCACAAAACACTCACAACTGTGCTAAATACCCTAAGAGTAATTACTTCACTATTGCTTTATGTTCAAACACAAGCTCTGGATTCTAATGGAGCAGCCTAGTCAGACTCAATTAATATGAACTAAAATTCATACTGCAAAAACATATAATTGTCACGGGCTATAACTGCCCATTATTTTCTTCAAAATTAGCTCTCAGAAACAGATCAGACTCAACTCGACTGCTTTCCCAGTTGGCAGAACTGGGAGAAGTGAACAGCAACTTCCACAAAGTTGTTTACTAGAAACATTCACACTTGCATTCAGCTACCAGTCAAAGTTATCTACAGTACATTTTTAAGCTTATAAAATGCCATGATTCTCAGGTATGAGGTAACAGCCATGTTATGAGGGTACACATACCTTCATCCTCTTAGCCAAGAGCTTAGCATAATCTGCTGCCTCCTCCTTGTTCTTCTGAGTGCGCTGCTTCTTCAGGGCAATACGTCTGCGCTTATGTTGCAGAACTCGAGGAGTCACGAGTCGCTGGATCTTAGGAGCCTTGGTCCTGGGCTTCTTGCCTTAAAATGAGTTATTAATTAGTAGTGTGACAAGCTGTCTTCCAGAGAGGATGTAAGCCCCTCTAGCCACTGTAAAACAGCACACTCCACTTACTCTAACACTAACACTAACAGTCTAGTCTAGGTGACCCAATCATTGTCACACACAGCATTAAAAGAATACAATCTTAACACTGATCTGTTATTAGCAGGGAAACACTCTAAATCACATCTCTAAATTCCTGCAGTTTTGTGAATATACCTTGCGTCTCAAAAAACATTTTTCCTACACCTAAAACATTTTAATAATTGGGAAAGTTATCATCTCAATTCCAGAGCAAGCTTTCAGAATTCTACTACAAACAATACACACTGCAGGACAAACAAAGGCAATGACAGAGCCTTTATTTGAGGAATATGTGCAATAGGAAAATATACCCAAGAGAAATTAACTCACCCCTCCTAGTAACAGTTTGGAGAAAAGGATGAGCTGAGGAATGTGACCCTCCCCCCTACACTGCAGCAGAGAGGCGTGGGGGAGGAAGGGGGATCCACACAGACTGGATGGCAGGGGAAGTATCATGGAGACAGAAGGGATGGCTCTACCCCGCCCCCCAGGCACTTACATAGCTCACACATTGGTTCAGGCTCTGACCTTGCAATTCCACTACACATACAATCTGTAACATTTCACTACTCGATCCAGCTTAACTACAGCAGACACAAGAACTGTCTTATGTTGACAAGAATCACAGTCTTTAATAAGACACTACAGTTCCAATGATGCAGAAAATAAAATTTCACTTTTCAGTCTTTTTCCTAAGAAGCTTCCATACTGCCATCTTTGTTGTTTTAAAAATCCTTCCGTTTTTGTTTCCTGATCAAATGCAACAGAAACACATTACATGCTCTAAAAACACATGTGTAGGAAGCCGAACACCACTCTCTCAAGAAAAGATAATTCTGTAGCTTGTTCTAAGCGCTGGGGAAAAGTCTTAACAGTACCGTCTATACAATCCTGCTCTTCTCCACCTAATGTACAAGTTTCAAGGACATTCTACCTCAAATTAGTCCCTAGTTTACTAAAATTGCTTTCAGATTATTAGAACAAATAGTAATGACATTACGGTCTGTACGATATTTAACTCAAACTGCGCCAAAGCAGACTGAGAGAAAAGTGGTGGGATGGAAATGAAGGGAAAAGGGAAATGCCTATTTCTTATCCATAAACTAACAGCTGACAGAACTTTACTACTATGACAGTAAACCCCTTGCTATACTACTATACATCATTCACTTCATGAAACTCAGTATCTGCTGAAAATGACATGCAATCACAGTGCTGTGAAACCTGAGTTCTTACCCTCTTTATTCAGAGGTTTCCTCACAACATACTGGCGAACATCATCTTCCTTAGAGAGATTGAACAGCTTGCGGATCCTGCTAGCTCTCTTGGGACCAAGACGACGAGGCACAGTTGTGTCTGTCAGCCCTGGAATATCCTTTTCACCTTTGATAAAGCAAGTTTAGGTATGTTAAATAATCTTGCATCTACTAAACATCTCAAACTTGGTTGCTTTTTAATTTAAAATGCATTACAAAAGCAAGATGCTATGAGGGCTGCTGCAAAAGTAATGCCTCCTACTTTATTACATTTGCTCTTGTTCATTGCTGATGAAAATGCATAGATAATGGTGGTGCCTATGCTCAAAAGTAGCATTCCATAGCTGACAACTTGCTCTATCAAGTAATGTTATTTGATCTTTGGATCCGTTGTCACTTCCGTGGAAAGGCATAGGAAGCATTACTTTCTGAGCAGCTTAGGTAAATAGATAATATGTGGGGTACACCTGCCAGTAGTGTACGACCTCTGTTTGCACTTTCTGACTTAATGCAATAATGTTGCTGTGATTGTGAAAATATTTCGGTTCCCAGTGATCAGTTTTAAAAGTTACAATACAATGTTCAGAAAGAACTTCAATGTTCAGTTAAACTGTTAAGACTGAGACAGTTTGTATTCTACAGAATTTTACAGCCACTAGCAAGCAGGTTCTTTCCAGGGGCCTACTTATATCCTAACTGCTTCATCTTACCCTTTTTCACAATGACCAAGTTCAGAACACTCAAGTTGGCATCAACAATGCAACCACGAACAGATTTGCGTTTTCTCTCTCCAGTTCTCCTGGGGCGGTAGCAAGAGTGGCCCTTGCTGAGCAGAAGGCGGACACGTCCATGAGTAAGGACACCTTGCTTCATAGGGAAGCCTTGCTTGTCATTGCCACCGCTGATCCGGACAACATAACCCTGCAGAAACAGAGAAATACACCTCTTAGTTGCTCACATCCCTATCAGTTCAATGAGCAGAGGTGGAGATGACAGCATCCTGTTCCTAACAAATGCTGTACCATCAGAAAAGTTACTGTAACTACAGGCACTAAGTATTTCTTTAACAAACATCATTTCAACAGTTCAGGCTTTTTACTTAACAGAGATGTGAAATGTGTCTTTACCTACCCCAAACAGCATTTATTGCCTCTTTAAAGATGTATCCAAGCAGCAAGTTCCTATTTATTAGAAGTTGAACACATCAAACTAAGCCCCGACCCTTCCTACCAACCTTTTCTTCTCCTTCACACTGAACCTAACCAAAGTCTGCTAACATCACTAACTGCATATATGCATACAACAGAAGAGTTTCTATTAAAGAGTCAGTAAAAATAGCTTTTATTGCTTTCTTTGGGGAGACAGCAGCAACAAACATCAGCTTATTCAAGCTCAGCTGGACTGCCCATATCGACATTTGGCTACTCCAAACCTATTCATCAAGCTCAACATGCCTTTTCTCATGTGCACTTAACAGTCTAAACACTTTCTGAACTTGTTCAGTACACAGTTAAGACTTCTGCCGTACAGTCTTCAATTGTCTTGAATGCTGGTAGGGTACCCAAATCAAGAACAGAAAACTATTTAAAAATCCAGAAAAACAGTCTAACAGATGCAGACCTAAAAAAAAAAAAAAAAAAAAAAAAAAAAAAAAAAAAAAACCACCAACCTAGCCTACTCATTAAATTCAATATATATTTTAAGAGATGTTTTTAACATCCCTGCCATGTGCAACACAGAATACCTTATCAACTGGAAAACTTATGCAATTTGACTGCACCTGACACATCTTTCTGACTCGTACCTTCCACTCCTCACCAAGAGAATCAGCTGCAACCTCCGTGGCCATTCTCTTCTCATAGAACGTTCTCAGCTTGCGCTCATCATCCACTTCAATAAGCTTCTGGCAGCCAGTGGCTGGGAAAGAGATGTTGAGCTAATAGTAGGAAAAAAAGAATAAATGATTTAGTTGAAAATTCTCACGTGACATCTCCTGAGAAAATTAGCATTGAACTGCTTGCTTCACACTGACATTTCAAATCCAGAAGATTACTAGCAGTACACTGTTACTATTGCACTTACAGAACCAGGCAGATCTGTGTGTGCCAAGAATGATACAAAACCCTCTCCCCGTACAACTATCTTCACCACAAGTAGAGCACTATACCCTCTAAACTGACTGCCACGAAGCAAAGAATGGTGCAGGTAACAGAAAACTCTACTCCCTTCCTCACATTTTTATTATCAAAGAAACAACACAGACAATCTGAAATAGCTGCGCTATGCCTTGGTCATCACCTGAGTTTCCCGAGGGCTACCTGCAGGGCCAGTAGCCTAGGGGACAGCTGCCTAGCACTTTCCCAGAGACGAGGCCACAGGAGCAGGCCCAGCTCCACTACCTCCTCGCTGAAGCTCCGCTGCTGCCAGTAGGAACCTTCTACTCCTCACCTTACAGCGGGTAAGGAGTCCCTTAACAGAACGACTCGACCCATAACCCAGAGCCCACAACACAGGAAGAGGCCCCAACATGGGGCACGGAGCCGCGCGGCCGCCATCTCGAACCACCCACAATCCACGGCCATCCAGTCTATGCAACCGCCCCGATCCCGCCGCCGCAGCCCATCGGGCCCCACCAGCAGACCCAGAAGCAGAGCCGGGCTCATTTGAAGCGCGGGAACCCAGCCGCCCCGCAGCACCGCCCGGGTCACCTCCACAGACTTACCTTCATCTTCACCGAGCTGCGCCGCCGCACAAAAAGGCCGCACTTCCGCCCGCAACCCGCACATACACTCGCCAAGCCTCGCGAGAGCGGTCCGCCGGCACCGCGCCCGCCCGCACGTGATCGCGGCTGTCCAATGGCGAGAGAGGTTTCTCTCGCCAGAGGCGTGGCGGGAGGCAGCTTCCGGCCCGTCAGTGCTCTGCGGTGGTTGAGCCGCTTCCGGCTGTCGTGAGCGCGGCTTGGGGCTGTCGTTGAGCGACGGGCTGCAGAGCTGCGGTTTTGACCCAGAAAAAACTCCAGGCCGCCTAAACCCCCGGCACTGCCGCAGGTGCGGGCCGACGGGCATCTACGTAACGGGACGTTGAGGCAGCCCGGCCTCGTAGCTGCATGATCACTGCGGTTTGAGTAACCATCCCTTGTGGAAACTGAGTGGATGGCTTTGATAATTGTTAGAAATGTACTTCTTTCCTTCCACTGCATGCTTTTGCTTTCCAAACTTCAGAGTTTCGGCTAATGTGACTGAACCCACCGTGCACAAGAGTTCAAATTTAGCAGTCGTGCTATCTTCTTAGAGCAGGAAGAGAAGTCCAGGGCTGGTGCAACTGACAAACCACAGCCAGAGACTCCAGGAGTTGCAAGCAGCGTGCTTCTGGGAAAGGGATTGGTTAAAGGAACTGAGAATGCTGGAAAAGCTTAAATGTCTTCAGGGAAGCAAAAACTTGCTCTGGAGAGAGCTTGCAGCATTTAAAACTCGGTAACAGAGATTTTCCAACTGACTCCTAATTCCAAAATGTGGGGCATGTCTGTTTTCAGGTTACTCTCAAATGTTTAATTTTTAATTTTTTTTTTTTTTCTTCCAATAAAGACATGGGAATGACACAACCAAAATCCTAGAGTGACAGCCTGCATCTTTAGGAGAACAATGCCAGCTGACTGAACAGTAAGACGCAAAGCAACATGATTTTATCACTCAGGTATACTGATGAAATTTTTTAGCAATTTTCACTTTGTCGTTTAGAAAGCAGAGAGGAAAAGGGCACAGTTGTCTGGAGAAACATTATACGCAGCCGTAACACTACACTTTTGTCGACACTGTGTTTAAAAACTAGAAGATTTGAAGAACTGAACTATTGGCTATCTACATACTGTTAGCAACTGGCAGGACAATATGGCTAGTAGGCATGGGACACTAAAAAAATGTTTAGGACTGCATTGATGGTTAAATCATGTGAGCAATTGGCTCCTTATGCTGCATGGGGAATCTATCAAGTGCCATGAGAGATCTTCAGAGGAAAATCCTGCCTTGCATCTATGTCATACAATTAGTTTGTCCAAAGAAGGGCAACAAAGCTGGTGAAGGGTATGGAGCACAGTCTTTTGGGGGTAGCTGAGGGAATTGGGATTGTTTAATGTGAAGAAGAGAAGGCTCGGGGAGGCGTTACCACTCTCTACTATTGTCTGAAAGGAAGCTGTAGCATGGTGAGGGTTGTCCTCCCAAGCATCTGGTGATAGGACAAGAGGAAATGGCCTCAAGCTGCATCAGAGGATGTTCAGGTTGGATATTAAGAAGAATTTCTTCTCTAAAGGAGCGGTGAGGTATTGGAACAGACTGCCCAGGGAAGTGGTGGAGTTACCATCCCTGAAAGTGTTCACTTAAAGGGTAGATACGGCAGTGAGGGAAATGGCCTAGTGGACATGGTGATGCGTTGATGGTTGGACTAGATGATGTTAGAGGTCTTATCCAGCCTTGATGATTCTATGATTGGGAATTATGTCATTTCTTTAGGAAAAGAATTCCATCCATTTTTACTTAAAATAAGAAAAAATGCCTTTTTTATTAAAGACAAACAATGCAGTCACAGAGTGTCTTGAGTTGCTAGATCTGTCCTAGAACTGAACAGTTGATATGGCTGAAACAGGAAATACCATCATTGTGTGCAAATTGTCTTCTAGGGGCGAAGTCCAGGTATTACTGCACACAGATCAGCTTTCACTTAAGCGTGCTTCCTTTAAAAGGCAACCTGCCAAGGCCTGAGTAAGCCAGAAACCTTTGCTTCAGATGAAGTAGTTGAGTTCCAGAGGCTTGCTCTCTGTATAATCAAGGGATATCAAGATGTTACAATCACAATGTATGATCAGTGGATATCAAGATGTTACAATCACAATATAAACAAGAGAGTTAGGCAAAGTGGACTATGATAACAAAAGAGAATAAATGGAAGGCTTACCCTTATGTTGGGCTCACCACAAAACACCAGAAGGAAGGATCTCCAGACAAGAGCCTTCCCTACTGGTAGCCACCTCTTAAATAGGTCTAGGATCGCCTTCACCTGTGCTCCCCTGGCTGACTCATGGCTCACCTCAGGTGATCAATCAGAGGTTCAGGCCGTGACTCAATAGTTCCCATACACTCTCCTTTGCCTGTCTGCTGCACTGTCTGTGACTATGGGGAGAGGCAGATGAACAGACGGACGGGTAGTGGGAAGTGTGTGTGGGTGCGTGTGGAATGCTGGGCCAGCTAATGTACCATCTCCAGCCTAAGAACCTGGAGGTGCCTGCAGGAACGTATCTAGAGTACCGTGTCCCATTCTGAGACGCTCAGTTCAAGAAAGGAAACTTCTTGAGCGTCCTGCTGAGGGCGACAAAGATGATTAGGAATCTGGAGCATCCGTTTTGTGTGGAAAGCCTGAGAGACCAGGGTTCAGCCTGGAGAAGCGGCTTCTCCCACAGAAAAGAGATCTCATCACTGCTTATAAATACCCAAAACGCAGGAGTTCAGAGGATGGTACAGCGAGATGGTGCACCAGGCTCTTTTCAGCTGAGAGGACAGGGGGCAAAGCAGCGCAGAAAAAACGTGACAAGCCATTTTCATCCAAGCGTTAGAACGAGCACTGTTAATGCACACAAAGGAAGGCGGGCTGGGAGAGGGCAGGAAGGAGGCGGGCAGGCTGCGCGCTGAGCACAGGGCAGAGAAACAGGAAAGAAACGCCTGGGAAGCGCCCCATGGCACGAAGCAGGCCCCGGCAGCCACAGCCACGCAAGCCGGGCCGCCCCGCCACGAGGGCGGGGCTGAGGGAGGTGGGACGGAGGAGAGCCGCCCCGCCCTCCCTGCTCCGCTCCGCCCCGCCCCGCCGAGCCGCGGTCGCCGGGCAGGGGCGGGCGGGCGCCATGGGCGCGATGCTGTGGTGGGACCAACTGCGGGCCGGCAGCTCCGAGGTGGATTGGTGCGAGGACAACTACACCATCGTGCCCGCCATCGCCGAGTTCTACAACACGGTGCGCGGTGGGAGGGAGGCGGGTCCGCGGGCCGGGCACAGGCGCGGGCTGCGAGGGCGGGTCTGGCGCCTGCCCGGGCACGGTGCCCCTTCGGCTGGCGGTGCTGAGGGGCTCGCGGAGGGGCTCCGCCGGTGTCCTGCCGGACGCGGTACCAGGAGTGACAGCCAGCTGTGCGGTTTCGTATCGCAGGCGCAAAAATCCGGAGGTTTAGACAGGGCTGCGAGCTACGAGCGAACGGCGTGCATGTCCTCCTGCCCGCTGCTGGCCCGCCCGCGGGTGTCCCGTGCCGTGCTGCCGCAGCTGCTGTCCAGTGGTGCAGGTGTAAGTCTGCCCGACGGCGTGCCGGTCAGCGGCGGGCCGCTAGCAGGCACGCTGGGTGTCTGCAGGCAAAACCATGTTTTAGAGCTTTGCCTTCTCCCAGAGCCAAACTTAGAGGAGCAGTTTGACAGAGGGCTGCAGGGTGCAGTCAGCGCAGAGCTGCTGGGAAGAAGAAAGGTGAAAAAAGGAGGGAGAGGAAAGAGGACCGAAGTAATTGTTACTTCCTCTAGGGGCCCTGTTTCACTCCTGACTCCTGTCATCCCAGCCCAGAGCTGCTGTGGAGTGCTGCTAGGGAGCACTGGTGGAAGAGTATTCCCCACCGCAGAGATCTGGAAGGGGAGCGCTGCTCCCAGCATCCTGTTTATCATCTGAGAGTTTGCAGTGACAAACAGATCCAACAGGGAATGAGATCATACATCATCAGGCTTTCTGGTGATGTGCTTTACCATGTCACTGGGAGGGAGCACTGCAAACAACATGCCTCTGGTGTTGCTCTGGGTTTTATGTTCTGTAGCAGGTGTGAGGTGGGATTTCTGCTTTGTCTGACTTACGTACTTCAAAATGACCTTTTAATTTCTTCCCCAAATTCTGTCCTCGTCTGAGCTCTCTTTCAGACTGTGTTTCTTGACTGCTGACATCAGATGTTAGTGCTGTACTTCTGTGAAGGAAAGAGGTATCTCGAGTGTTCATCCCTCACAGGAGTGTGTACCCAGGGATGCACTCCATTTATAACAAATAATTCAACTGTGCATGGTGTACATGGCTAACCTGTCGTTTTTCCTTGTAGCTCAGCACCAGAGTCATCTGAGTGGTGTATCGTCTGTGTTTGAGGGTGTGTGGTGAAACAGTCTGCTTTCTTTGTTTCTGATGTCACTGTGCAAGAACCAAAAACAAAGGGAGGAAAAGGTCAGGATAAACAATAAGTTTCTTGAAGAAGCGATGTGTTTTGAAGCCAGCAATGCAGGGGGTTGGATATCCTTCTGACTGCTCTGAGCTGATGAGCTGTGGCAAGAAAGCTTGCGAAATGCTGGGAGCTGCAAGTATGTCCAGGTGATTAACTCAGCTTCCAGACTAGCAGAGAGGCACAACACAGAGTTCACCCTGAAACTCTCTGTATTGCAGAAGCATCATCCAAATCAGCTAACTGTACATCAAAAACATGGGGAGTAGAGGCTGTGTTGAGGGTAGATTTGCTTCAGTAGTGAAGAGATTATGGAGACTGACTTCTGTATTTGCAGCTTCTGAAAACTAATTTGCAGTGAATTGTTGGGGGCTGAGTGATTGTGTTGCTGGAGAGAGAGATTCTTACAGCTTGGCAGGAAAGATTTGGCCCTGACAGGTGCTGCAAGTGGACTCTGAATTTTATTTCTTCTTAGATGTTTCTGTTCTGACACTGACTGAAAACCTTTAGAAGTTTCAGGTAACATTCTTCAGCAGAGCTGAATGTGGGATCTGGGTCTTCAAGCTGTAGATTAAAACCTTGCTAATCCGCATTTTAGATTGCCACAGCTAAGATCAGAGATGTCGTTTGGGTCTCATGCAGTATATAAGCAGAAAACTGGAACAGCTTATCTGAAACATATTTGGAAAGATCCATTTAATTATTCTTGTGGGACTCAACGTTATGTGTAAATTTAACTTGATCTTGTTAAAAAGCAAATCAAAGTGCTCATCAGGATTGAGTAGAAGAATATCTGTTCAGCAGTTCTGCACGAACTAGTCACACAATTTTTATAAAACATACACGTCCAAGATGATTTCATGTTACACACTAAAAATATTTCATAACTAGGAAATTATAAGAAAACTAGCTTTTTTTGAAATTTTATTTTGCTATTTAATAATTAATCCTTATACAGTGTAATCTTACTCTTGAACAAAAGCACATACCTCCACACACTTAAAAGAGATTACATGTGCAGAGGTATTTGCAAAAGAAAACAAAACAAAACAAAACAAATTTCTGGAAAAACTGAAAACTCTAACTTTTTTTGTTACTAGTGAAATTGGTACTTTTCAGTTTAGTGTTTTATATCCAATTGTGCATATATTTATTGCCAAATTTCCCTTTAAAGAGTATTGCCAGTGGTTTTATGCCTTGTCTGGTCTGTGGTAGCAAGGAGATAAATGTTTTTAGAGGCTCTTAGATTGAGAATATGCTTATACTCTGGCAACACCCTTTTTACTACTTTAGTATTGCAATGTATGTATGTGGTGTGCTCTTGTGTCAGAATGCTAAAGATACAAACCTCTAACTTCAGTGAAGAGATATTCCGTTTTTGCTTCCCATTCTCACAAGACATGCAGCCTCAGAGGCTGAATGCTGCAGCTGCTAGCAGTCTGACTTAGCAAATAGTAAATAATTTTTGGTAAGACCATGGGAAATATCACACACAGACTGTGTGGGCAAAATTATGTGGTCGTGATCTGAGCTGGCCACTGGAATTCCATCTGTGTCCTGCATTCTTTTCATACAAGTAAGTAGTTGGAAATTAAAAGTAGAGGTCCAGAATTGTTTAATGCCAGAGGATGGACTTTTATTGATGGGCTTCTTACCTTTTCCTGTAACTTTGAATTACCTTTTGTAAATCCCAAAGGAAATTCTAGGTACTCCTCTTCTTTAAACTTCTTGCACTGATCTTAACTTTATAGACTTTTGTATTGTACATTACCAAATCTTATAGGCCAGTTGTGTATTACGTGAAAACTTGTTTATGCAACATACTTTCTAAAATCAGAGCCCAGTGGATAGGTGCCTCACTTATTTGGGAAACCTGGCAGTAATACTGGCAGTGTTTCTAAGGGTGCGGTTCTTGTAGGGAGCCAGGCTGATAGCAGAGGCTGAAAGCCAGCTGGTCAGCTCTCGTGTTGATGTAGTTAACTGTGAACTTGAAACTAAGAGAACTTAAGCAGCATGTTTCAGATCATGTTCCAGAGCTCTGGTATGAATACAGCTTTTGGAAATTACTGTGTGTGGAATATAAGAAACAAAACCGAGTTATTTCATGAAAGAGAGGCAGTAGTATCATGTTTTATTTCCAAACTTAACAGAAAAGAATTTGGGCATCAAAATTCTTTCTGATTTTACAATGATATGTAATTTCCCTGTAGGCCATTGCAGTGAGTATAAATCTAGCCTAGTTTTTACTCAGTGTGATTACTTAGTCTGATTTACTTTGCTGAAAAGATTCTTTTTCACATTCCTTAGTTTATAATCATTTTTTGGGTTGTTTTATTTTTTTCCTTGATATCTCTTTGACCTAACCTTGGCTTAAAATGTTCAGAGCATTCTGAGGCTCTTGGAGGACCTGCTTATATTCCATCATCCCTGCTGCCAGTCATTGTTTATGTTTCCAATCTGCTGTAGGATAAGGAGAGCCTTCCCACTCTCTGCTTGTAAAAGAAGGTAGCAGACTACAACTCTGGTCCATGAGTATGTTCCAGATGGCCCGGTATATCTTTGCTGCACAGTGCTGGGTGGCTTTTATGTGAATGGAAGATGTTTGCATGAGCATATTTGGGTGAATGTGGAGGTTTTATGCAACTTAAGCAAATTTGTCTCTTAAAATGTGATTTAGGACATTGTCTGTAAATAAGTCTTTGGTCTTTCTGTTGCATCCTCAGGGATGTGCTGCACTCTGGCATTGCTAGGTGCTTCCTGCCATTGTAGTGGTGGCAGGATTTGCTGCCTTGGTGGATTAAGGTGTTCTATTGCTACTTAGGAAGTGCTTTGTCTACGACACTGCAGACAGCTTTTTCATAACTGTGAGGCTGGTTTCATACTTCAGCTTGCAGGAAGAGAGAAAGGATTAATTAGACGACAGTTTGTAAAGACGTTTAAATGAAACTGATAAGGCTCTGGCCTGCTCTGCACTCGGGCAGCTTTGACCACAGTCTGGAGAAGTCTGGGAGCCAGGCAGAGTAAGCTGGCAGTTCAAAGCTGAGCAGTGTGAGTGGCTTCTGTGAAAACGTCCTTGAGGGGCCTGGTCTGTGTCAAAATGAGCCAGAGGATTTTGTCCTTCCTCATGTTGGTTTAGAAGGGCAATCCAGTGGGAGCAGAGCAGTAGCTCTGTTATAGTATTTCCCCATTGAGACTGGTTATCGTTGTGGCCCAACTGCTAGAAGCATGGTGACTTCTCCTCGTGGTAGGAAACTCATGCTTTTTGTCTCTGAAAGCTGCCACGATCTTTTCTCTTTCTATCCATCCCCTCTTTTCTCTTTGTCTTTGCACCCCACCATCAGGCAACCAGAGGTTCATGGCAGTGAAACTGTCTGTGCGCTTTTCATGGAGCCTTAGGACACATGCTCCAGCAGATGTTAGTTTGTTAAGGTGTCTAAAGATGGTGTCAGTACAGAAATTTCTTCCTACTGTTTTTTTCTAGTGGCTGCTCTAGCTTTGTTCTAGGTAGAGAAGATACGGGATTTTACATCTCTAAAATGAGCATGTGATAGATCTTTCTATGTGTTTTACTTAAATGAATTTTGAAAGAAATGCAGCTTGTCTTTGAGGAGGTACCTTCAGTGTGAAGGAAAGTGGCACACATGAAGTAGAAAAGCTACTGCTATAGTTATTTGTCAGTTTGGATGCCAAACTAGGAGTATGTTTTGACGAGTCTTGCAAAAGTTAAATTAGATGTGCCCATTTTAGTCACTGCAACCTCTGCTTTCACGTTGTCTGAGACAGTTGAATGGTGGATAGTTATGAAATGAATAAATGCCTTCTCTGTATGCCATTCCTGAATCCTTTTCTATTAGATTTTTATTCATGTCATTAAGTGTCCATGAGTGTCTGAGAGGAGGAGATCTATCCCAAAGGAATGCTGTTTATCACAGAATTCTTTTATAAGTCCATTTTAGGGGAACGTTGCTAGAGATTATTTTGTCACGTGCCTCGGTTAGCTGCAGAGATTGTGAGGAGATCAAGGCTGGGAAGTTCATCCTTGCCCTTGTCCCATTGTGAAGTAGCAGTATGTCTGTGGCTGGCCTTCAGCATAGGCAACTTCTTACTGAAAGAACTGTGTGATACTGCAGTAACAGCTCCTGCTAGTGACAGGTAAAGCATTTTCAGCGTGTAACCAAAGAATGATGCTTTGGATTGTTGCTAAGCAATTAAAAACGGATCTTTGTTCAAGACACATATGCTGCATTAAAATGATGAAGTTATCAATTGTCTTTTGACAATTGAATTACCTTACGAGCCTTTTCACCTTCCTATTACTAGTTTTCAGTTTTATTTTTTCACTTCTGTAACGGAGAACCAGGGGAAGAAATAAAGTGTATAGAGGATTTACAACTTAAAGCTTTCTTAACCCTTCGAAAAATGGTTCAAACTCTTTCAGCTTAACTTTGTGTTTCAGGTCTGCCAAACAATAGCAATTGTTCATTGACCTGACTTCAACAAAACTGAACAACCTATCTAGTGCTTTTTCCATGCTGGATTTGACAAGGACTGAGAAGAGAATTCACTTGCTACAGCTCCCTGCTGTTAATCTGTTTGCTGTTGAAGGCTTCTTGAATTACAGCGGAGTATTTACAGCCTTCTAATAAAATTCCTCTGGAAATAGACTTGAAAAGTCATTTAAAGGTGTGAATAGCCACAATTTACATTGCTTGGAGTTTTATGCTATTACTAGATTATGAAGTTCAGCTTAATGATACTTTGCAAAAACTGATCTGCTTTGGCAGAATCCGAGAACCACATTTTATTGAGCTGAGGTATCACTGAATGACTTTTTGTAGATGGATTATCCTACAGAAATTAAATGTTTATTTTCTGTCTTTGTGATACTTTTTTTTTTTTTTTTAATAGATAAGCAACGTCTTGTTTTTTGTTTTACCACCCATATGCATGTGCTTATTCCGTCAATATGCAACCTGCTTCAACAGCGGAATATATTTAATATGGACTCTACTAGTTGTGGTCGGTAAGTTGGTTAATCTCTGTTTGCCTGCTTATGCATGAACGAGAGAGGAAATCGGTTTTTCCTGCTTGTGCATGATTGTTTCTGCAAAACAAAGCAATATTGACGTCTGTAGAAGAGTTTGCTTGCACTTGCTTGAGGCAAAAGCAGATGTAGTTTCTGAAAGGAAAAGTAGTCCTCTTGCAGTTGGAGTGCGGAGGGACTTTGACCTTAGTTCTGCACCCTTTTTGTCTCTCCTTTGTACAAGTTCTGTTACTGTATCCAGGCTTACACTAGAGCAGTGCTGACTCCCCATCCTCTGATGCTGAATTAATGATTGCTAAGAGTTCTTAACAAAACTGGAGAACATAACAGGTTTTGCTTAGTACTTAGACATTTTAATGATTGATCCACAGATTTAGCAATATTGTAGATGGCAAATTCTTGAACTTTTTCAGTTCTACAAGCACTGACAACTTTAAAGGGGGTACTCAGAGTTATGTGGGCCATGTGCCACTTTCCACTTGTAAACTTAGATTGTATAGTCATCACATGCTGCTTTCCATCTTCATGTTATCCGTTCTTGTGTTATTGAGAAAACTGAGAAAATTCAGAAAGAGCATTTGAATTCACTTCTTAATTGTATTTACATCTAAATTTACTACACGATGGTTTTTTTTACGTATATTTACTTCTCCACTTGGAGATGGCACCTTTAGCTCCCTCTTTGGCAATGTGTGTGTTTAATAGTTATCTATATTTATTTATTGATTTATTTAATATGAGGTGCTGATGTTTTAGTTTGCTTTTTTAGACAGGCTGGTGTTTTGCTTTGTTTTTTTTTTTCTAGATCAGATTGTATGAACTATTTGCTATGAATTCCTGATAATGAGCAGCGTGTTTTAGTCTGTACAGCACTGTAACTACTGCCTGTAACTTCTGATCAACTCTTTCAGGAATTGGATCTGTTTACTTTCATGCCACCCTCAGTTTCCTGGGCCAGATGCTGGATGAGCTGGCTATACTGTGGGTTCTTATGTGTGCTCTTGCCATGTGGTTCCCTAGAAGATATCTACCAAGAGTTTTTCGGAATGACAGGTAATCGTGCAATGTAGTACACATGCCTGTTTCTTGAAACATTTCATCTTATGTTCTTTTTGTTCAGGAGTCCTGAGTCTGTGTTCCTGATGTTGAGTTTTATGCCCTGAAACTTCAAGTTTTGGGATGTGATGATTGACTCTGAAAGTGCCTATTCTTGTTAGCTCTAGAAAGACATGAATAGTTTATGTAAGTTGCACCTGAAATGAAGTAACAGATACTATCTTCTCATGTTCCTTTTGTATATCCGGGATTATACATATGAGAATGTACCTGTGGAAGTCAGCTTAATGTTTATCTGTACATTTAAGCCAGAGGTTAAATGTAGTTTGTAAGTATTCAAAGACTAAGTATGCTGTTTGTTTAGAAGTCTCTCATTGCTGCAATGGATTTTTTTTTATTGCAGCTTTAAAATAGAATCACAGGATCACCAAGGTTGAAAAATACCTCCAAGATCATCCAGTCCAACCATCCACCTAGTACTAATATTTCTAAACTGTGTTCCTTAGTACAGCGTCTGAATGTTGCTTGAACACCTCCAAGGATGATAACTCAACCATCTCCATTGGACAGCCCATTTCAATGCCTAACCCTCTCACAGAGAATAATTTTTTCCTAATATCCAATGTGAACCTCCCATGGTGCAACCTGAGGCCATTTCCTCTAGTCCTGTTGCTAGTTATGTGGGAGAGGATGCCAACCCCCACCTTGCCACAACCTCCTTTCAAGTAATTGTAGGGAGTTATAATGTCTCCCCAAACCTCCTCTTCTCCAGCCTAAACAATCCCAGCTCCTTCCCCTGCTCCTCCTGGAGACATGCTCCAGACCCCTCACCAGCTATGCTAGCCTTCTCCGAATGTGCTTCGATGTCTTTCTTGTAGTCAGAGCCAAAACTGAACATAGTACTTGAGATGTGGCCTCACCGGAGCTGAGTACAGAGTTACGATCAGCTCCCTGCTTTTGCTGGCTTCACTATTTCTTATATAAGCCAGGATGTCATTAGCCTTCTTGGCTGCCTGGGTACACCGCTGACACTTGTTTAGACAAGCATTAGCCAGCAGCCCCAGGTCCGTTTCTTCCACACAGTCTTCAAGCCATTCTGCCCCAAGCCCTCTCTGGGCTGAGGCCAGTGGGATGAAGTTCAACAAGAAGAGCATTATAATCAGAGTTTAAAGAATCTATTTTTTTCCCCCTTACATAGAAAATACGGTGTAATCTTTGTGCATATTGTTCTTTTATGCATAAAAAATCTGACATAATGAAGAGGTGGAATAATAATGGAATAATATTGGAATAATAATGGAATAATGGAATCGCAGCGCCAGCGTTCTGCTCTCTGAAAACTACTAAGACTCCTTCCTTTTTCTTTCTCATACTATTGTCTGCTTTCTTTATTTTTTATTTCCTTGACATATACTCGATTAGAAAATGCTTTCACAGAGAAGGTTGTTGCCTGCATTGAGTATTCCTCAAAATAGCTTGCACTGTGAGGAGTATATCTTGTATTATCATATGTAGTCCGTAATGCAATAGCTTTGCCAAGTTATTACCATGAATTTAGTACTTTTTCATACTGTAATGTAGTCCTGTTGTAAGATACCATATACTTAAAGAGCAAACAGTGGTTTTCATGAGATTATTTGGTAGATTACATGACTTTTAGATAGTTAAAGTGAAGAACTGTTCAGTCTCCTGAATAATTTCTCTAATTGCACATACATTGTTCCTCAAAAGCCTGAAGGAATTCTTGCATGTTATATATCACCATATTCTGATAGTTTGTTTTATAGATTTGTAGAATTAGCCATAAGGTTAAGTGATATCCTTTCTAAAAGGAGTGGTAATACTTTGTGGAGAAATCCTATTTCAACTTGGTGATAAAACTAAAGTGATACATAATGATCTGGCTGTTTATAATTGATCCATAAAAATACAGAGATGAACTGAAGGATGTGCCCCATGCTCAAGTTTTCACAATACTATTTTCCTAAAGACTGTCAGGATTTGTTAAGATTTTAATTTCTTTCTGAAGTGTACAGAAAAAAAAAGAATTTTAATGGACAAAAACGACTATCTGAGAACAGATCAGATTTATGCATAGACATATAAAGGAAGGTGATGCTCCTCCTCTACTCTGCCCCACTGAGGCCACGTTTAGCATACTGTGTCCAGTTTTGGGCTTGCCAGTTCAACAAAGACAGAGATTATCTAGAAGGAGTCCAGCAGAGGGCCACAAAGATGAGAAAGGGCCTGGAGCATCCCTCTTATGAAGAAAGGCTGAGTATCCTGTGTATGTTCAACTTGGGCAAAAGAAGACTGAAGGGGATCTGGTAAATGTTTATGAGTATCTGAAGGTTGGTGGGAGGCAAATGGGTGAGGCCAGGCTCTTCTTGATGGTGTGTAGCAATAGGACTAAACCATGAACATAGGAAGTTCCATATAGTCATGCAGAAGAACTTCTTTATGGTAAGGGTGACAGAGCGATGGAACTGGTTGCCTAGAGAGGTTGTGGAGTCTTCTATGGAGATATTTGAAACTTGTCTGGACACCTACATGGGTGACTATACTGTTCCTGTAGGGAACCTGCTTCAGTGAGGGCGTTGGACTTGTGTTCTCTTGCAGTCCCTTCCAACCCCCACAATTCTGTGATTTTGGGATTTTTATATGTACATACACGTACATATTTCTATGTTTTGTTTTGTTTAACTTATTTTTCTAGAGTTATATGTGCCCAATACTCTGCTCTGATTTTTTACATTCTTCATCCTTCTCACACTCAGACTTTGAATGTTGAAAATGCTATTATCTACCATGACTGATTCATGGTATCTTTAGTCATTAAGGCACTCACATCAGATCAGACCTTCCTGCTTATGTAATGTGTTGCCTTCCAACTTTAAAATGCTTTGAAACAAGAGGCCCATGAAATGAGTTTGGTGAAGATGAGGATGATAATACTGATGATCAAGGAATGGTGATAACAGGTGTACTGAGATTCTACTTGAGATGTGGAATTAAAGAGAAAAGAGCCATCCCTGAACATCAACTAGTTTTATGGAGTTGTGGGTCAGTAGCCTGGAGGCAGTGTAATGGTCCTGTATCTTCCACAGTCCTGTCACAGACTAGAAATGAGTTGTTTAAAAGTCCAAATTTGAAATTTAAAAAACAATATATGTTTGTTTTAGAAGTTGTCACTGTCCATTTGTGGCCCAACTGTGATTTCATTGACACAAAGAACGTACTAAACAGACTGTAATGTGGCTCTAAAAGCGAGGACAGTAATAGTAACAAAAATATCCTAAAAATCCATGTTAAAAGCAAGAAGAATCATGACACAAAGCTGATTTGAGGAAGTACAGTGCTGGATACAGAGAAGATCTTGCTCTCAGCTTCTTGTGGAAGAAGAAAAATTGGAGCAGGTTCTTAAGATTTTGAAACCAATGATTAGTGTGGGTCTGTGTACACATGCACACATATGTCTATGTATATACAAGGCTGCTTTGGAAGACTGTAGTTCAGGAAAAGGCTAGCTATGTGATTAACTCTGTATGCAGAGTATACACTCTGTATGCACTTGTGTGCAGGATCCTCATCCATTTTATATGCACATTGTCATTGCACTCCTGACCACACGCAAAAAAAATGTAAGCTTTATTATGCTATTAAAGTTGTGTTGAAATTTCTGTCTTTACTGATTAAAAGCTCTGAATTAAAAGCACTTTTCCTCTCCACAAAAAAACTTTCAGGAGCCGGTTTAAAGCTGCTGTTGGTGTCCTGTCTGGAGTTACTACCTGCCTTGCCTTCATTAAACCTGCCATTAACAACATCTCACTAATGACTCTGGGTGTTCCTTGCACAGCTTTACTCATTGCTGAGTTGAAGAGGTGAGTACATTTCTCCTGAATGCAGTATTGCCTTTGGAGATCCTTAGGCCACCATACAATGATAGAGTAGATCTTGCTTCATTGTTTGTGATAGCAGATCAGAAATGCTTCTCCATTGTACAGATCTGGCATGAGATTGCTCTGTAAGTTCAGACATTTTTGGCAAGGATTTTTTTTTCCCTAGGTGATTATACTCATTGCCTCATATAACAGATCAGATGTTGTCTATCTTCTTGCATTATATCTCTTCCCTCTTCCTGATCTAACTCTATTCATTGTGGAGTTTTGGCAAGTTTCACTCCAGTGACAGCTTTTATACTGTGTAGCACAGGAGTGAGATGATCATATGATCACAGCCTGAATACTGCAGGGAGCAAGGTCCAAGCATGCATGGAAGATACGCCAGCTCACAGGGCTTACTGTCAGTCTTACATCACACAAATAATACGCTGGAGCCAGACTGACAAAGATAAGATTAATCGCTAGGTCACAGAGGGTACCTTTCAGTCACCTTAGAAACTGTGAAACCAGACTGCAGGTAGAAAATAGTCTGAGGTTTGTTTTAACATTTTAAAGAGTCCTACCATGACTATGAGAGACTTTTTTTGCATCTCCTCACCAAGGCAGAAAGGACCAGGCAAGCATCAACGTATAAACATCTTTCCTACTTTTCTTAAGTATCTGAGGCAGACTTATGTTGGCTCTTACACTGCATCTGAAAATGTCCATCAAAATAATGTAGAGTAAGACAAAATGCCTGCATTCTAAATGCTTCTGTTGGTGAGATTGTCCTGTTTTCCCACCATATCCTGTTCTGATGTTACTTTCCCTTGCAGTGTAAGCATCTGCAAATCATGTTCTGAATAAGTGTTCTTGTGTCTTTTTTCTTTTGATGTTCTGCTAAGCAGCAGCTATTGCTATTGTCAGAGAAATTTGGGAAGCAGCGTGGAAGTTCCATGCAGAGGAGAAGGCTGGTAGGTTAAGAATGCTAGTAGGTGTGTCTTATTTTTAAGAAAGCACCAGGGGATCACTGGCAGGGCAAAGGGAAATTTGTGTCTGGCATTGAACTATTATTTGAGCCGCCATTTCAGTTTTCCAGGCATGAGCTCCTGAGAAACTTGAGAGGGTGAATAGTTAAGTGTCTTTAAGGTTTGAATGCTGTTGGATCATATCTAGGAATTAATATGCCTACATGTACTTGCTCTTTGAAATTCCACATGGGAAGTCATGTTGCATTAAAATATGTGGAGTTTACCTATCAGTTTTTTGAGAATTACAGACACAGAGAAGCCTACCTTTGAAGTGATGATTAAAAATGGACCTAGAGTGATATATGCTCTCTGAATTACCTATTTGGATAATGTAATAGCTTTGGTATTTTTTTGATGTAAATGTAAAAGGCAGATAATTACAGATTTCATTTTAAGCTATGCTGATCCATGATAAATTCAAATTAGAAGTGGGATCATCCCATCTCTTTTTGCTGAAGAAAAAACAACTGAGACATTATTTAATGCCTATGATTCTCCTGTTCTCCACTGCTGCAGTCGCTAGGGGGATACAAGGCTGAGTCCTGTCAGGCTGTTGTGGTTCTTAATCTGTGACGCAGATATTTTGGAAAGAAAGGAGAAGAAGTTGCTGAAGTAGAACTTCTTGGTTTAGAGAAGTTTCTTCTGATCTGTGCTTAAATAAGTGTTCTGGTATAATATGTCACAGTGTTATTCCCTTTGTAGGCTGTTATAGATCTTATACTGAATTCTAGCAAATCAGAAACACTTTGTTTTCAAGTGAGAATTTTCTGCCACTCATTCATTTCTGATGAGGAGAGACTATTTGCACAAAAGAGCCTTATGCTCTTAAGTGCAGAACTCATGGAGTAGAGTGCTAAGGACATGCTGTGGATGTAAGATGATCAAAAGAGCAAAAGGCAGTTAAATGCATACTCACTCCCGAAAGACAAGATATTTTACACTTTTTTTTTTCTTATTTCTGTTCAAACAGAAAAACTTCGTGGGTGTCACAGGGATGCAATCAGCTAGAAAGCAGCTGTGGATTATGTTGTTTGCTGGTCCAGGCCAAATAACAATGAAGATTATAGCATCATCAGATTAGTATGATTTAGTGTCCTCTTCATGCAAGTAACTATTTCCCTGAGCAGATGTGTGGTAGGATATTCTTGTTCAGCTGACATCTCTGTCTTGAGCAGTGAAGACCACACTGCCTTCATGTTTTTTTATGCATATTTGATTCTGCTACTAGCAGTCTCATTGTGGAGGAACTCTATTTCATTGTTTCAGCTTGCTCACTTCACTTTTCCTTTGACTAAAAGGTTAAACTAGTTAGAAGTTTAAAACTAGGCTGTCAAGGCAGTCATCTGTGTCAAAGTCAAGTTATTAATCAACGTCCGGCAACTACAGTGATTTGAAGAAAAGTTGATAAGTTTTGTTATGGATGCCATGACACTGGAAGATAATACTGTTGGAAGTGTGCACCAGCCCAGTCTCTCATATCCTGGGATACACCAGTCTGGAATACAGCCGTGTTTGAAGTAATGATGATAATTACCTCTCCCCTTGGTGATAAAACTACTCAGATACTGACAAGTGTGGTCACTCACTGACTAAAGGAGCTGTCTGTTTGAGGTCAAGCCACCTACTTTAAATGGAATGCAATTGCACATATTTATTTACATTCCTCAGACGGGTCCTGGAAAGGCTCCATATTGTCTGTACACACAACCTTTGCTCAGTCAGAATGCACAGTTACTCAGCATAGCAGTCTAGTCTTACCTGTTGAATAGGAAGAGAGTTTACCAATATGGTTTCTGTTATAAACCTGTCAAATTGTATTTTTCTCACTGGCTTGTTTCACAAGAGAAAGAATTCTTGTAGCTGTGCTCTGGAAGTCATTAGGCAACTCAAAAATCTCCTCAGTCTTTTCTTCATGCTTTTTATAGCCTCCTAAAGGCTGTCAAATGAACTGCAGAATTCAAGCCAAACAAAAAGCCATTTTGTTCCACAATGTGGAATATTGATTTTTTGTGGAAGTCATGTAGATGCCTTTGTCATGGAAGCAGAGATTGTGATACCTGAAGATTAGTGTGATTTTGATTGTGATGTTATTTACAGATGACTTAAAAAAGCATGCCTGACCCTAAAGCCAATTTGTGCAGAGGACACTGGAGAAAATTCCAACAAGATTAAGCAGTAGGTAGTTTTTCTGTCATTAATCCACTGGCTGTAGAGGTGCCTCCTACTCAGTCTTAGGAGTTTCTTAATCCCAAACACCTCAAAAATGTCAACTAAAACATTCAAGATTAAAAAATACCTTACAGATTTGTGGAGAAAACTGTGCAATTTGCTTAGCTTGCAGTGCACCAGAGCAAGGCAAACTATTGGTCCTGCAATGTATTCAGAAAAATGTTTAGGTAGAGAGTACTTTATTTTCACTTTTTCTGAATGCCTAGCTGGACTCCTCAGCAAAGCTGTGATAGCTGCTGCAGTTCTGCTTTTCCTCCACAGAGAGGCAGGAGGCATTATCTGTGGGTGCTAGTAGTTAAGAGTGTTTAACATGAGGAAGAATGTAATGAAAAGTTGTAGCTTGAAGACAGAGTTGGCATTACTACTCCTAGTAGAATGCAAAAGAACGTAGTGGGCAGTGTCTTCCCGTGAAGGCTGAGTATTCCTTGTACTGGCTGGACAGCTGGCTCACTGATTTACTGTTGACAACTAGCTAAAATAAGTAACTTTAACAAATTACTTTGTCATCTCATTAGTTGATTTGGATCAGATGCTTATTGTATGCATCACTGCTATGAGCATGACTGCTCATTAAGCAAGAATTATCTAGTAGCATTTCAGATTCTTGTGAAGAACACTAAGAGTTTAACAGTTAATTTGAAAAAATGGGGGAAAATCCCAAATAATAGCTTAGGTCAGAAGGCAGGGAAACTGAGCCACACATTCTTTGGCCACATAGGACTACTCATGTTTCAAGCTAGCTTTGCATTGTAAGTTTCAGGACTGCATCTAATGGTATAAAGAGACCTAATCTCAAAATAGCAAGTGTGGGTAGAGAGCAAGCTAATAACTTCAAGAGAATATTGATGCTGCCTTTTTTTGTTTAGTCTTTTGAGCAAAGCTGCATAGTTCTTAGTGTAATTCCAAGACATGGAAAAGAACAAAGCATCATATAGGGGAATAAAACTGTGAGCTTTTGAATAGATCTGCAACACCGGCAGTGCTAGGCACATACTCTTGCATCTCTTATTGTTTTTGGTGATGATTACCTGCAGATCTCACTGCATGTGATCACAGCAAATGTTTTCACTACATTGTACCTCTATGTTAACAAGTGTGGTTTGTTGTGGAGGGAGAGAATTGCAGTTTAGACGATGCGAAGAATTCTGTGTGAGATGTGCATGCCTGCACTATCTACTGAAACATACTTGTTTGTATCCTATGCCTCTGCTCCTGTGCCTTAGTAGTTCTCTGGAACTGCAATACTGTAGGGGAAAAAAATCAACCAACTAATTAAAAAAAACTCATTCTGTTCCTCTTTATTACCAATCTTCATATAGTTGCAATTCGATGGAAGATAGAATGTGAATAAAACTGACTGATTGCTGAATGGTTAGTTGTTACTGACAGGATGTTTGACTAATTAGTTATTCTACATACCACAGAATCACAGAATCACAGAATTGTAGGGGTTGAAAGGGACCTCATCCCCTCAGTGCTTCAGTGTTTGCTCACCATTTGCTCTTTGGTATTTAAGATAATGCCCAAAACACAGCTACTGATTGAGAGGTTTGTTTTGTAACCTCACGTGCCTCACGTCAGAGTCATATTATTGTCAGTAAAGCTCCACCATTCAGGGCATTCATAGTGGAGGTGTTTTAAAGATGTGCCTAGCCTTTTTTTCCTCTCCTCTCCCCTCCCATATTCTGCTACTTAGAGCCAAAGAGCATCAAGAATCAAGCAAATACTGCTTTGTTTTACAGTAGCTTCTTTGTATTTTTCTCCTCAGGTGTGAAAACCTGCGTGTGTACAAACTTGGTCTGTTTTCAGGTCTTTGGTGGATGCTAGCACTTTTCTGCTGGATCAGTGACAAAGCTTTTTGTGAAATTTGGTCGTCATTTAACTTCCCCTATTTACACTGTGTATGGTAAGTGTTGTGCATAATCTCCATGGTTTGAATCAAGCGTGACAGATCCTCACCACAGTATCATTCTGTGCTGTGTCCATAGGCTGCTAGTGGCTATTTCTGGTTGGTGCTAAACGGATTTACTGGTAAGATTGTAAGCCAGGAGCAAGTCTCACGCTATCCAGGGTGCAGATATAGAAGGCTCTTTTGCCTGATCACATTCTTCAGACACTAAGTTGATTAATTGCAACTGAATTTCCTGTCCCTACTGGCTACTAAAAATCAAAAGCACCGCTCAACTGAAGCAATGACCATAAAGGCTCAAGCATCCACAGTTAATAGCTGAGGATGAAGTGGAAGCAGTGAACAGCTTTTTCTTTTGTCACAGCAAATTGTGACCTCTTATCCAAAGTGCTATAATTCATCATTTCTAAACAACTCTGTAAGGTGGAAAGAGACCAAAAAGCTGCAGACAGTTTATGTAGAGGATGATCCAGTTTTGTAGCTTTATGTATTCTCTGTATTCTTTGCCCGTTGGCGTATAGTAGCACTGTTAGGGACTAGGAAAAGAAGGAGAGTAACAGACTGATTTTAAGTCATGCTGATGTATTTGATAACTTCATTGAAGTCATGTTACTGAATTTTTCTTTTTTTGGTGGGGGGGTTTGCTCTATTCTCAGGCACATTTTGATTTGCCTTGCGGCTTACCTAGGCTGTGTCTGTTTCGCTTACTTCGACGCTGCCTCCGAGATCCCTGAGCAGGGCCCAGTCATAAAGTTCTGGCCAAGTGAGAGATGGGCATTCATTGGTGTTCCGTACGTCACCCTCCTCTGCGCACACAAGAAATCACCAGTGAAGATCACATGAAGTTAGCTGTGGAGTGGGATGGATTTTCAACTTTCATTCCAGCTCAGACAGTATCTAAAACAATGATAAATGAATAGGGTTGTATTTTATCTTCTTAAGATAAGCAGCCTTCCCAAGTCGTAGAAACAGGTGGCAACTGTGTTCTTTCTCCTCCTTCCAGAGAAGAGAGAGGTAACAGGAACATGAAAGCCCTTGAACTATTTTCTCTGGTTGGCTCTATTTTGCACTTTTTTTTAAAATGTAGCATTTCATTTGATAAAAATTTTTTCCAAGTGTCAATAAGTAGAAATGGAGCCCCTGCAGTAGATCATTTTTCATGCTTGGCTCAGTTTTGTTAACCTCTGTCTTGAGGCATTCTTTATAAGAGAAACTTATCAGAGGCCTGCTGCCATTTTTGTGTCCTCAGCTCTGATGTGTGTGTCCTTCTCGGCTGAGAAGTAGATGTAATTGCACATCGGCCACAAGGGCGTGCTCATGTTCCTCCCATCCTGGAGTGTAACGCAGGGAGTCTGGATGTGCATCAATTTGGATCAGAAAGCATTTGATTGTTTCCCCAAGTACAGCAGGAGATTGAAAAATGATTATCACTGGATATCTGGCTCAAAGCAATTAGACAGTGTAAGTCTGGAAATAGCTGACAGAAGATCCAGTCCCTAAAACTAAATAGGAATTCAGAGGTTTTGAATGTTCCTGTATTTCCGCTGATTTGTGGACGTTAACATGCTGCACGTTTTCCTTTTACAGAAATGTTGTGGAAATCCTTCTCTACCTCTGCAGACATGTTTGGTATTGAATTTGTTATTGAAGCTTACACAGAAATATGTCAGAGCACAGATCACCAAAATTGACAATGTGGTTAAATTGCTAAGACTCCTGAGGTATCTAGCTGTATATTTAATTTGAGAGTTAACTTCTCAGCAAAGCTTTGCAAAGTGACATAAACAGTAGTCCAGTAGTGCTCTGCTGATGATATTTAGGAAAAAAATAGGTAGTATCGGTACCTGCTTAAAAACAAAGAGAAAAGACAGATTTCAGTAATCAATGGAATGTGATATTCAGTCTTGCAGCGTTAGAAAGGAATAGTAGATTCAAGCTTTCTGTTTGTTTTCAGCTTTTTTTGTAAGGGGTGCAGTTAGTTTAAAGTTTTACATTGGGATTTAAGTTCTGGAATGCCTATGGTTCTTGCAAGCTATTAATGCTAGATCTGATAACAAAACAGTGCAAAGCACAGGTAAGTTTTTTAGTTGTGATTACTTGGAGAAAATGGGGTCTACTTAAATTCTACCAAATATCAGAACTGTATGTAGGTTAAGGATTTAGATGTGCGTTTTTAGTTAAGTGATATTTCCTTGTTGGATACTAGACCAAGAAATAACATTTTCTCTATGTTTTGCTAGTGAGTCTCATGTCCTTATTTTTTACGAATATGAGTATGTACTCTGTACAATATCATCTTTAGGAAAATGACTTTTAAGAAGAACTTTGGGGTGAATTAGCTTTCAAGCATTGTAAAACCTTTTTAATAATTTTGTATTCAAATTTATGCTGAGAAAATGGAAGCTGATGTGTATGCTATTACCCTTAAAGCAAAGTTGTTAGTAGGGGATATAACTTCTTGAGAACTTTGAGGTGGGTAAGTAGCCTACTGTCAGATTGATTAATGGATCACAAAAGCAGCCAAATCTTTACTTCATTGCAGCAATGAATATTTATACCACTTGCTTGTAGATTTGTTGGACAGAAACATGGTTTAAGGCACATATTTTTGTATGAAACTTCTTTGTAACTGTACACACAGCAATGTTTGTTACTCGTTGAAAGCCAGCTACTTTTTCCATTTTTCCTTCTCTCCTTGATTCTGAAATGCTCAGTTTTAACCAATTCTCAGGTATTAATCTTGTGATTAGATCCTTATACTGATAGACTTATTGGCTGGAACCCAGCTAAGGTTGCTGTTTTCAGATAAAGCCCTACCTTGAGTTAGATTTCTTCAATAGTGCTTACTAAATTATAATAATAAGATATTTTCAATATGGCTTGGGGAATTAGTGATTGCAAATATATGTACTGTTCATAATGACTGGAGACTTACTGCTTAATATTTTGTTTGAAAGAAAACTGTGATGTGAGGGCTCTAACCATCCTGCAGACAGCTGCTGTCTTCTGCCCTAGAGTCTGACTGCTTATAAAGAAATGATTTTATAATTTAAAAAATGTAGGGCAATCAGCTATTGCAGAGGTGAATAAATGCAGGTATAGTTCAGAATAATCTCAACTTTATTTATTAACTAACCTCTAACCCTCATACTTTTCATAAGAGATGCTGTGAACAAATATTACTATCCATTGTACGAAACTACACTGTAGATTGGGGGTATTCCAGGTATGAGGGCACTCCAGCATTTTCAGATGTAGCTATTGCACTTTACCTTAAATTATTATTAACTTCTATTCCAACAAAAACCACATTTATTTCAAAAATGAAAAGAAATGCATATTTTGCATATTCACAGCTTCCCAGCTTTACTTTGAACTAAGGCTCCAGTTTAGGATAACATCAGTACAGAAAGAAGTATGTAATTGGCACACCAAGTGGTTTGTACACTGCCCGTATCAAAAAGATGACTAGAAGTGTGCACAAATAGGCCTGTTATCCTGGAGTATGAAATGATGGTTTTAAAATCTTGGAATGCTTCCTTCCTTTGCTGGCAGGAAGTTGTTGGGTTTCTAGACTTCTCTTTCAATTAGCATTTTAGTTTAACTAGTGGAACACAATAGTGTGTTGAACATGATGTGGATTCTTCATAGATAGGTGTTGGTATGTGAGGTGCATCATTCTCTGAGTTAAACTTTAGGAATATTTAAGAAAGGATGTTTAGATCTGTCATGGCGAACGCTTGCCAAGTTCACAATCATTCAGTAAATAGCGTGTAAGGAATTGCTCTGTTTTGCATCTCATTTGAAGTCTGTATACTGAGTATTTGTGGAAAGCATGTAACACTTGGAACATTAAATTGCCTTCAGAATAAATACTGTTTGCCTTTTCATGCTTCATGTTTGTGGAGAGAAGTACAGCTGCCACTATAATGCTTTGAAGAAGAACAGTCTGTGATGAGGTTAATTTATCTCAGAAAGGTAAGAGCAGTTTTGAATCTTAGAGGAAGAGAGACACTGCATTAAGTACAAAACCTCCTGCTGTTTTTGTTTTTGGTTTTTGTTTTTTTTTACAATCTAAGTAGAACAAATACTTGATTCACTTGCAAGCATGTGAATAATGCAGACATGTAGCAAGAAACACCTGAAAACAAGTGGCCTCTATTTCCACAAATTCAGAAAACTGGTTCTGAGTGAGTATGTCTGGGAGAACGAAGAGCATGTCTTCTATATTCATTATCTTAGATTATGTTTCCACCTTAGGGAAATAATTGCTATAAATAGCTTTCTACCTACACCGCTCCTTGTTTGGTTTTATGACTGTTTCTCTCACTCCACAGAATGAATCTTAGAGCGGCTTAGGTTGGAAGAGACCTTAAAGATTGTCTAGTTCCAATCCCCCTCCCTTACTTGAAATATTTCTGGATTCCCATAAGCCAGTGTTGGACTTGAAACCATTAAGTAAGTAGAAAATATATCTATAATTCAAGATACTGTTTATTCAGAGTTAGTATTTCTAGTTGGCAAGATGTCACAAACAGATGGATTGTTCTGTCACTCAACATGCTTTGTCTGAAGATTACTGACTTTGTTTCCTCTGGAAAGAAGGGGAACGTGATTGTAATTGTAATACTGCATTTCTCTGATAAATTCAGAGATCCTTGCTCATTTTAACCGAATATGACAGAAACAAGAGGCTTAGAGATAATTTCCTACACACTGTAAAAAATTCTCGAGGATCCATGCCTAAGAGACAAGCTGCCACATGAAACTTTTTATTAAAAACCAGAAACCTACTGAGGGAGGAAACTAAAGAGATGCTCAAGTTCTTGATGGGCTCTAATTAATTGCAGCTCATACCAGCCACAGCATCTGAAACCAGTTGCACATGGACCAATGCTGTAGGAAGAAATTGTGCAGGCTAGTGTTCCAGGGATGACAGAATTACTACTTCATAAAATGTGGAAACTTGCTGTTTTCTCCAAACTTATAATGCATCATTAAGCATCTTCAGCACCTTTCCCAAAAAGGGGCAGTTGAAAGTCTCAGATCACCATGCACCCTTTTGGCTGTCAAACACAGTGCCACCTGAGAAAGGTGGAAATCTGGATGAGTTGACTTCTGTGCCAGCAGACTCAGGAATGATAAAAAAAAAAGTGTTTGCAAACTCCCAGCATATAGCAAAGAACTAAGTAGAAGTTTGTCAGGAGCAAATTGTGTCTTCATAATTTAGTTTTCTTCAGCAAGGGGAATATCTGCAGTCCCTGTGGCTATAGAAGAGATGGTATTGTGTTAGGTTTCTGAGACTGATGAGATTTCTTGCACTGCTTGACAGGACATTATTATAAAAGTGCTAGAAAACCTGAGTTTAATAAAAATTCTATGAATGAGTGTGAAATTGCTTGGATCACTGCTTCTGGGCTGTTCTCAGTGGTCTATTACCAAACTAGAAAAAGGTGTGAAGTGGAGTTCAGCAGGATCTCCTAGGTCAACTTTCATTTAGTTGTTCAGTGCTATGCCCAGGGAAGGTATCAATAAAGTAAAGTCAGGGAAGGTCCACAAATATCTTGAAAAACAGATCTAAAGTCCAAAGGCAGCTTGCTGTATCGTAGAAAATAGAACAAAATTGAGTGACAGCAAAGTATTATATAGGCATCTATTTTTGTTTATATACAGGTGCTGGACAAAAAAAAATTGTTGCAAACGTATCCCGAGATGAGGGTTTTAACTAATTTCTCTGAGAGAGAAATATCAGCTGTAAATAAGAGCATCTGTGCTCTCCATAGAGACTGGACTTTGTAATTTGTCAGTGCCTCTGCTCATTTCCCGTAAGCACAGCCATTGCTAGAGACCTCAGTGTGCCTGAACTCTCTTTTGCAGGAGAGTTCTCCTTTACAGTCCATATAAATCATGATGGAAATCAGTTAGCAGTAATGCTAATTGAGCTGACCATGGAGGGATAAAGGTGGAACCCAGAGGAAACTCTGTTGCTGTGTATCCCATAGAGCACATATTTAATTACCTTCCTCACCCAAGTTCTGTCTGGCCCGCTTTCTGATTACTGCTTCTGTCGTCTCCAATGTCCAGCAAGTTGCTTAGAAAGGCACGGTCCTGATGGGAATTGTTAGTTTAAGTAAAGCAAAGACCTACAGAGAGGGAACCCAGACTTAAAACACACAAAAAATATTGCATCTGCTTGTCCATACAAATCTTGCAAGCAAACCGTGTATTTTAAGGCTGAAGTTGCTATTTGTCAAATGTGCAAATGACATATAATGTATTTCTCTTAATAAGTTCAAGAAGACACTGACAGACATAGCATCAGACCCTATAGTATCTGGATGCAATCTGAACTTTAGCATTAACAAGCAGTTTGTCCCTGAGCACTTTTTTTTTCTAAGCTGCCAGGACTTACTCATGTTGAGAAGCTTTTGTCTACTTCAGGAGACATGACACAGGCCTTCATTCAGTATTCTATTTCAGGGCTCTTGAATGTTTCCTGGCACCTAGATCATGGTTTAGTTTGGAAAATGTGCCCCACATGCTGTGTGTAATGGCTTCTTATTGACTGTAGAATCGCAGAGCCACAGGACATTCTGAGTGGGAAGGGACCTGTAAGGATGATGGAGTCCAGCTCCTGGCTCTGCAGCATGACTCACTGGACTGCCAACGTAGAAGCTAGATTGTATCTGTCATGGTATCACATAGGTTATTTGGTTCAATCTCTGACATACCAGCATTTGTCTTTCTGAAGCACTCCTTGTCAGCTTCTAAAGTGTCAAAATCCTGACTCCTCTTTTAAATGTGTAACCTACTTCTCTGCATTGTTTTTAGAATTCTAAAACAAGCCTTGAAATCTGCAGTTTGTTTTACATAACTTAGTAACTAGTCATATATCTTCTTTGTATGATAAAATTCTTTGCATTCTTTAGTTGTTGTGTCTACTTCTGCCATGGTCAGAAATCGTGTTGAGAAATAATCCCAATTACCTTTGTAAAGTTTCCAAAGGTGTTGCTCCACCTCTTATCCGTAGCACCTTACAAAACACTGAGATACTGTGGCTCTGTCTGTCTTTCAGTTATCGTAAATAGCTTTGGTTTTGCCAGGATTCTTACCTCAATGCCAAAGTAAACATAGTGCCTTTAATTTTGTTGGATGGATTCTGTTAATTCAGTTAGTTATGTGATTTTTTTTTTTCTTGTGTGACACAGATTACATGAAACACTCTTACAGTTACAAAGT